TCGATTTTGCTAGTTGGATAACCAACTGCCCTGCGATTCGTTCATTCCTTTCGATGATGAACTGGTACCGGTCTGTACCAGGAATCAAAACCGTCACCAGCTTGCTTGTGAGCAACTCTCGGAAGAGAATGCCGTTGGCGGCTTTGCCAGCGGGTAATTGTTGTTGGCATTTGCAGTTACTCAGGCTACTTCTCAGCCGCCTTTGCTTCTCACGGAAGGCGAATATGGAGAGTATTTTGGATTTTGCTTCGCGTTTTAAAGCTAAAATTGCAGTGTTTGCAAATAGAACGCGAGCTGTTCCAACTGCGTGAACGTTTCGACGAAGTAGTGAGGAATCGAGGCGAACCAACGTGTGACGCATGCCGCAAACATATTACCTGTAATGGTACTGCAGCGAACACTAATGATAAGCGCGTCAGACCGCCGGTGCCCACACCACGACACTCCAAGGTTCCTGCTTAACAGTTTATTAACAAAATCTCCCATGGCTGTCTATCACAGTAGCATTATCTGAATCTTTCTCTTCCGCAACCCGTTGTCCGTCGATTTTAAGCCAAGTACCAAGCTAGCTTTGTGCCCATTTTCTTTCCTCAAACTGCTTATGTCGAGTTTCCCCGTTATCTTCAAAGGATGTTCTAGAAGTCAGTTTCTTCCTTATGAGTACCACACATGGAAGTTTATTTGAAATTTCATTTTTACTCTATCATTTTTGGCTCCTTTTTTGCTAGTAGCTATGAAAAGTGCTCATATTAAAAGATAAAGAAGCCAAAATATTATTCGAACCAGGCTTTTCTTGTAAGAGTGAAGATAAGTTTCAGGAGACGTCATCGGAGCGTGAACTGCGAAGCGAAGTTGATGAGCTGCGCAATGAAGTTTCAACTCTGCGCGATACCCTCAATGAACAGATCGTCCTTTTTGCTGACGAACGCAAACGCTGGGAAGAGGAGCGAGTCAAGGTACCGCTACTTGTTCTCCTAGTTCCAAAGTATAATAAAATTTAGTTGAATTATTCTGGAAATCTTTTTTCAGTCAGTATTAGGGCCACTGCATTGAATTTATTGCTTTGAATACGTTTTCTAACTAAAATCTACCCCTCTCTCCTCCCCCTCACCCACTCCCGGTCCAAGCTACGAAGATTCTACACGCAGTGAAGCGGTAATTCTTTAAGATAAATGTGAAGCAGTCTTTCCAAGCTGGACTGTGAGACTTTGTTCTGCACCTTCACACCAGACGTATACATAGGCGGATCCAGGATGGACTCCTGGGGAGAGGGAGGGGCGGAAGAGGCCGGCGGGGGTAAAGCTCCTTCCACCTTGGAACTGTGCAAAAACTAGAAATAGGATTACAACACTGCTGCTTACTTTAGTTTGAAGTTACTTTAGGCTTTAGTTTACTTTAGTTTTAGCTCTAGACCTGGGCTTCTGCAGCACTGGTGCTGTGCCACTGGGAGAAAGACTCTTCGGCCCCTCCCTCTGGATCTGCCTTCGGGTGTATACCAAGAATACTAAAACCATCCAAGCTATCTCCGAGAGTATCTCATGTTAGTTTCTTTCCTTAACCATAAGCACAAACAGTTATACCTGTGGTAACCTTTGCTTATACAAATTTTTATTCCAAGGAGCAATTCTAGTGTCTTTTCCTATTAAATTCGCCTCCTAATTGGGTGGTTCTTTTGAATGGCGCTTTTAGTATGTTGCAGAATAGGTCAGGAGTTATGATAGTTGAATGATCAGTGTCTGCTGCTAATGCTTTGAAGTTATTTCCAGCCATTTCAAAACACTTCATAGCGGAACTGTGGACATAAGCAGAATTCACGAATCGTTTTCTCAATAAGCTAAAAAAAATCTAGATTCTGAAATCGAACGGTGTGTCATCGGCTCGTTTGGGTGGTTTTTCCACGAGCAACGATCCCGCCTCTACATCGCTGCTGACCACCGGTCAGCTTTCCGGCAATATGAAGTTGATGGGTGATGGCAAAGCATATGTTGTAAGTCGTGATCGCCTCATTTGACTCGCGCAACCGGTCGTTTGGCACTGTTTGTTGTGCTGCTAGTTCTCTATTCGTTCCGCCTGATGTGCCATTTTTCATTTGATTGGTCAGCTCTGTTATGCCAGTAACTTTCCTAGGAAAAACGATACTTTCTGTTTTTGTTTGCATTACATTTATGGATTACATGTAAACTCTGTATGTTTTTATTAAAAACTAACTGAATTTATGAATTTTATTGCTTTTACAATCAAAAGTTCTTTCAAAGCAACTTACACTTCAGACTTGTCTTACGTATAGACGCCATTTCGTTTTTTACCGACAACTTTCCAGAATAATGGATCCTGTTGCCTTTACAATAACATGCGAAACTGTGCATTCGTAATCAGTTGTGCAGGAAATAAAAAGATCGAAAATAAAGAATCACTCTAAATACCATATGTAACGATGGACATATTTGAAAACAATCCGTGTTTCATCCCTTAGCAATAAATACAAAAAAAGCACATAAAAGTTACTTTTTTGCATTCTAGTTTAACAGTTTGACTTGGTTTTTTATAGTTACGGAAGAAAATCATTGGTTTTTTTCAAATCCCTATTTTATTGCGTCTAATTTTTACAGAATTAGGCAGTTCTGCTAAAATCATTGAATGATCAAAACCGATATCTGATACTGATAACATAACAGGAATTCACCTGTTTCCCTGATTTATCTTTGTCAGACGTTTCCTTTCTGCTCTGAGTGTTTCCACTGTACGTACGCGCCACATGTTTGGGTGCTACATGAGTGGTCGCTTCTTCGCAAATGCCAGTTACTTGTACTGGATGTCCATCAGTGGTCTACAAAGTTAGCAACGTGTCTCACCTGTCAGATTTTACTTTCTCGTGCAATCGCAGCAATACCTTGCGGATTGTATTGGCATGTTAAGTTTGTTATTACTGTTCAGTCCATTATTACAGTTAATGGGATGGTCTATGGTACCGCACCTCGGTGCTCCTTCTGATGCTCACAATGCGGGAACCGAAATTTTTGCTAGTTATTAATTTCGTTATGTGTTGAACAGTGATAGAGATACAGTCAAAATATCTAAGATTGCATGTCTAGTAATTCAGAAAAATGGGAATCTTTGATAATTATGTTGGGAACCAGTTGGTGGCCAGTTAAATCTCGGATTCTACTACGGCACATTGTATGAAGATACTTTTTGTCTGTTAATTATAATTCTTGCATTATATATATATCTGATGAGAAAAAGGTGGAATTGATATTATTTTGTAATAACTAATAAATTTGCGATAAATAAATGAACAGCACCGAAGGAAGCTCTATTTGCTGCTGCGTGTCAATAATCAAAATCCCCTTTGCATTCGCTGTCACTAGTATATGTATATGTTGTATTGTTTGTGGATGATGGAGATCGTTGGCAATTCTGCCTCCTAAAAAAATGCAAGGATTTCATCTGATGTTTATTAGTGATAAAGCTATCATATGTGACCCGCACTGTGTTTTAAAGCCAACGATTCCATTTAAAAAGTTTGTACCTGCTTTTTTTGTACTTCCTTCTCCAGCACAAGCGAATTCAACGGCACAGTTAGAAATATTTTTTGACCAACAGGAAAGATAATTGTGGCGGTTTTGATCACTACTTCTTAATTAATTAATTATCACTTAATTGAAATTTTATCCTAATTTAAAAACTGGATAATTTTGCTAAATGCAACTTATATTTAAAGCAGTCAAGTATTCAAGCAGGTACAAAATACGGTGTGCGTAAACTTGTGAAATTGAAAGAAAAACGTAGCGATTTATGTTCACTAAAAAAAGCAATTTTCCTTTACTATGCTAATGAGCGAATTTGCCTGTTGCGCCAAAAGCCAACTCCTCTTCTCCACACTCGCTGTCTGTGACAGACTATGATACCCCAAAGCAGCTGCA